GAAAGGCCTGGTGTGTGACTAGATGGATGTCTCTGGGAGGCAGGTATAGGGAGGTCAGGGTGGAGGGGGTAGAGGTAAGGTTGTTTCTAGAAATTAGAGCTGAAATTCTTGACAGTCACACGGCGAAGAGGGCTTCCTCTCACACAGACTGGCTAGCTCTTTTCCTCCCGTGTTGCACACAGGAGTGGAAGTATCCCTATTCTATAGCACGGGAAACACCTAGTGGTGAAGGGACCCTGTTCTTTAGCACGGGAAACACCTAGTGGTGAAGGGATCCTGTTCTATAGCACGAGAAACACCTAGCGGTGAAGGGACCTGGTCAAGGGCACAGAGCAGTGGCAGAGCTTCCTGAGCTGGGGTTCTTGATTTCAAGGTCTGGGCAGAGCAGGGTTGAACCTCTTGTACCACCTGGTCTCACAACAGGACACAGCCTGCTGGAGAAAAGGAAAGGGGCACGTGAGGGACAGAAAGGCAATGGACAGACAGACAGACAGGTGCAGAGACAGACAGACAGGGTCTGCCTGCATTGCAGCTGGCAGTGAGCCTCCCAGCCCGGGTAGACAGACTCATGCTAGCTGGGCTCGAGCTAGCGCGCTAAAAATAACAGTGTGGCTACTTGAACTTGGGTGGCAGCTCAGAGCCCACCCGGTCCCTGGTCTGAGCACAGTAGCTACCTCTCCGCCCAAGCCATAATAGCACACAGCTGTGTTTAGCCCTGCTATGAGTCTGCCTACCCGGGTTGGGAGGCTCACTGCAGCTGCAGTGTAGAGATAGCGGGAGCCAGGGAGGAGGAATGGATGAAAGAAATACACACCCTAGGACCAGATTCTCCCTCGTCAGGATACAAGTAACTTCCACTGACTTCACTGGTATTCCAGAGAACAGGGTCCCGGGCCACTGAGCGAAACAGAGAGGGACAGAAATAGGGAGCACAGGAGAGTCAGAGATCTGGAGAACCTCAAAGAGAAACCTGCAGGTGCTTAGGCTGGCTAGCCCTGTGGTTAGCACTCAGGAGACCCAGGTCTGCCACAGAGGCTGTGTGTGACCTTCCGCAAGTTACTTAATCTCTGAGCGTCAGCTCCTCGCTGCTAAAATGGGGCAAGCCCCTTTCTCCCACCTCATCCATGCAGATTGTAAGCCCTTAGGCGCTGGGAGCATGTATCTGTGCAAGCACCTAGCACAGCAGGCCCCTGTTGGTGCTACTACAGCCCTATAATAATTGCCAGGGAGATTTGGGAAGGATGAGAGGCAGCAAGAGAAGGTGGAAACACACGGGATCCTGTGAAAACAAGACTGTCTGGCGTGTGCAAGTCTCACCTGCTGCCATGGCTGAGCTGATTGGAAAATTCCACCGTAAAGAACGGAAATGCACATTTTTCCCCTCCACTTTCCAACTGGCTGCAGTCAAGACGGAATCACATCTGCTTCAAGAAGACAGAGGCTTCCTCCTCAGTTACCGACAGACCACAGGCAAGGCTGAGCCCAGGCACCCTGAGTTATTCTTCACAAAGAGGAACAGCACCCTCTCCTGTTCATCCACAGGAAGTGACTGGCAAAGCTCAACCAGATGCTGTCGCGTTCAAAGTCACCAATTTTAGAAAAACCAAACAAATGCCCAGATGTGTTGCCATTCTAATGAATTCAGTGCAAGAAAGTTTAAAAATCTGATTTACTTTTCAAAATATGTGATGTTTGTTTGCTTTTGGCATCTCTTTCAACATGGGCAACAAAAATAAATATATAATATAATGTAATATGATTACCAGTAAGAACATATCACAATGTTCACATATATCTGAGCATCTTAAAGCTCTTCCAATTAAAGGGATGAGGTCAAATTAAAAATGTATGTTTGTATTTTGTAAAATCATAAATTAGATTAGATGTGTGTATGTGATATATATAATATATGTAAAATAAGTGTAATTCATACACTATAGTTTATGTATATATACATGTTACATATGCATACATATCTCTGAGTCTATATATATATCCTTTCCCACACCTGAAGAAGAGCTCTGTGGAGCTTGAAAGCTTGTCTTTCTCACCAACCAAGGTTGGTCCAATAAAAGGTATTAGCTCATCCACCTTGCCTTCCTGAGACCAACACAGCTACAACACTGCAAACATATATATATATATTACAATCTTTATATATATATATATATATATAGTACTCTTGAGCGTGACAGATTGTCTATTATGTAGTACTTGTTGGAATCTTCCTCAGCCCAGGTGCCCTTTTGTACCATTGGGAGGGGAGCCCTAGAGCAGACACAAACACCACATCACTCCAAGACTCAGGACATGCACCCATTGTTTCACACTGCATTCACCTGGGAGGCGCGCAGGGTCACACAGGAATTGGGAAAGCAGAAATGCAGGAATTAGCAGGCCATGCTGGAAGATTCACACCAGGCTAGCATGGATTGCAGCTGGCTGCTCATTGAGCAGTTCTTCTCGCAGACAGTACATGGCCCCTACTCTCCAGAGGCAGTGCTGGCTTCCAGTTCATTTCCAACTGCAAATCAAGCTGTTGGGTTTGACCTTTAAAGCCCTTAGTGCTTGGGCCCTGGCTACCTTAGTGATCACTTTCTCCTTTCACTTTCATCCAGAGCTGAGATTAGTTGAGGTGCTGGAGCTGACAGCCCCCATATTTAAATGGGAGGGGACCTATTCTCAGATCCATTCCAGGAGCTTTGCAGTACTACAGCATTCCTTCTGTTGGTTCAACACAGGGGCCATGGCTGGAGGCAAGGAAGAGCAGCTCAGACCCTGCACCCGATGGTGGATTAGCCACTGGGCCAATGGGGCCCATGCCCTGGGGCCCTGGACAATTGGGGGGCCCATGGAAAAATGGGTGCCCCCACGCCCTGACTCTCCACCCGCCCAGTGCTCCTGCCAAGGAGTGGGGTCAGGGTGTGGGGAGTTGGCTCACTCCGCCCGCCCTCCCGGCACTCCAGCCAGGGAGTGGGCTTGGGGCACGGGGGCTTGCCTGGCTCCACCCGCCCGGCACTCCAAACGCTCCCCGACCCCACTCCCTGGCAGGAATGCTGGGGAGGAGGGGGACTGCAGGCAGAAAGGGAGGGGAAGGGCCCCCACAAAACCCTAATCCGCTCCTGCCTACTCTTAAGAAAGTAAGCTGTCATGGGATAAGAAGGAAGGTCCTCTCATGAATCAGTAACTGATTAAAAGATAGGAAACAAAGGATATGAAAGATGGTCAGTTTTCAGAATGAAGAGTGGTAAATAGTCGGGTCCCTCAAGGTTCTGTACTGGGACCAGTCCTATTCAACATATTCATAAATGATCTGGAAACAGGGGTCAACAGTGAGGTGGCAAAATTTGCAGATGATACAAAACTACTCAAGATAATTAAGTCCAAAGCAAACTGTGAAGAGTTACAAAGGGATCTCAGAAAACTGAGTAACTGGGCAACATGGCAGATGAAATTCAATGTTGATAAATGCAAAGTAATGCACATTGGAAAATATAATCCCAACTATACATATAAAATGATGGACTATAAATTAGCTGTTACCACTCAAGAAAGAGATCTGGGACTTATTGTTCTCTGAAAATATCCACTCAATGTGCAGCGGCAGTCAAAAAAGCGAACAGAATGTTGGGAATCATTAAGAAAGGGATGGCTAATAAGACAGAAAATATCCTAGTGCCTCTATATAAATCCATGGTACACTCACATCTTGAATACTGCGTGCAGATGTGGTCACCCCATCTCAAAAAGGATATATTGGAATTGGAAAAGAAGCTGGGAATGGGCGATAGGGGATGGATCACTTGATGATTACTTGTTCTGTTCATCCCCTCTGGGGCACCTGGCATTGGCCACTGTCAGCAGACAGGATACCTGGCTAGATGGACCATTGGTCTGACCCAATATGGTCGCTCTTATGTTCTTATATACAGTGCCAGCTGCTCCAGCTTCCTCTGACACGCTCACTGCCCAACCCACACATGCAGGGTATACTGCCTTTATCCATCCAGGTGCAGTGGTAGGGAGAGACAGAGAGCTACCTGGGACTTGTTTCAGAGCAAGTCAGTTGCATGCGCCCACCTGCCCACTTCCCCTGCTGCTCCCACATGGCCTGCAGCTTCTTCTCTTCTTAAAGAGATGGGACTCTGCTCAGGGTCCCTCTTTCTGCAGCCCATTCAAAGTCCACATTCCCAGAGGTGGGCTCTCATTTGGGTGTCCCAAAGATCAGGTGCCCAGCATGAGACAACCCAGGTCTGATTTCAGTCTCTGAACTCCTGCAGCTCCCATGGACTTCAGCTGTGTTCTGGGTGCTTAGCACTGTGATGTGTTTGGGCCCTTCGGGGTGTCACCTGATGTGCTGGGGTGCCACTGAATCAGCCTATTCTTCCAGCTTGGGTCCCCTTTACCTAGCCGTGTCCACTCCCTTTAAGGGATACAAACGCAAAGGTTTTATGAAATTTGCTGCCTCCCTCAATGTGGAGGGAGATATGCACAACTTCTTGCCCCCCAGTTAGAAATTACATAAACTGGGTTATATTATAAACAAGAAATAGGTTTCAGAAGGGCAGCCGTGTTAGTCTGTATCCACAAAAACAACGAGGAGTCCGATGGCACCTTAAAGTCTAACAGATTTATTTGGGCATAAGCTTTCGTGGGTAAAAAACTCACTTCTTCAGATGCATGAAGTGAAAATTACATATACAGGCATAAATATATATTGGCACATGAAGAGAAGGGAGTTACCTTACAAGTGGAGAACTAGTGTTGACAAGGCCAATTCAGTCAGGGTGGATGTGGTCCACTCCCAATAATTGATAAGGAGGTGTCAATACCAAGAGAGGGAAAATTGCTTTTGTAGTGAGACAGTCCCCATTCAAGCCCAAATTAATGGTGTTAAGTTTGCAAATGAATTGTAGCTCTGCAATTTCTCTTTGAAGTCTGTTTTTGAAGTTTTTTTTGTTGAAGAATGGCTACTTTTAAATCTGTTATTAAATGTCTAGGGAGATTGAAGTGTCTCTACGTAAAAGGATAAATGGACACGACACAAATCAGACCATCAGGAGTGGTAACATACAAAAGCCGGTAGGAGAACACTTACAAGACCCATTTTGCATGAAGTACATATGTTATCATAAGCATATTTTCATAAAGAATATAGAGTGACACATCACAATCACCTCTTAAAATTGGGCCCCAGGTGTTTCAGGCTGAGCACCCATATACCCAAAGGCCCTTACTGAAAATGGTGACCTATGTGATGGAAGCCTGCGGGTTTACAGCCACCCATAGGACAAGCCTGTTCCCAGCTCAGTGGTCTGAGTCTGAGCCCTGCCAGCAGTGGGTCACTTGGGAGATATGTTTCACTTGCAGACACAGCCCTTCCTTCCTTGGTGTCAATGGCCTTTGCCATGCTAATCACCAGTGTTTTATATAGGGTGTGTTTATAGCCTAAGCTGCTGCCTGAATAGGAGTAAAAGCAACAGCTTCAAGGTTCAGAGCACATGGTTATCTGCCTCTTGCCTGCATATTCCACCCAAGTCTGGAGAGGAATTTGGGGGGTTGGTTGTTGCAATTTTCAATACATGGGAAACATTTGCAGGTTTGTTGGCTTGGGCTTCTCCTTTGCAAAGTTCAGACCACCCTTAAGGGTCAATCTGGTGGCTTTTCTCCCACTCTGTGACGCCTAGACTGCCCTTGCACGCACTGACATCTTCACCCGGTGACATGATCCATGTGGTTTAAGCTCAAAGAGGCTCCTTTGGGCATGTTCTTACATCTTGCATCTCAATCATCTGCAACTTAGATGAGTCCCAGGTCATCTTCCAGTGCACAGGCAGGTGTATGGAGTAAAACTGGCACCATTTGTGGCCATCTCAACTAAAAGACTATGGGAGAACTGGGCAGGAGTTCTCCATCAGGGTGATACATCAATGGAAAATGCAGTGTCTGAAAAATCAACAGGTAAATGGCAATTTTGCCTTTTTTTTAAAAAATTTCTGCAGGAAAATCAAAACAAAAAAGTCATGTTAGTTCAGTTTGGCCTGGAACAAAACATTTTAGCTTGTTAAACTGACCCAGAATGTTTGTTTTGAGTCAGTTCAACAGAAAACGGCATTTCCCTGCTGTGGCACATTGCCGCATGGTTTGGACCCATTCTCTCCTCTAGGCAGGACTCCCTCAGCTCCCCTGAGGCAGTGCAGTCTCAAGGGGTGAGCTGCACTGTGGAAGTCACACACCTGTGGGCCATATAGCTGTATACAATTTCAGAGAAACGTGGTCAGTGTTGATCAAGACAGTACAGCCATTCTGAGAATACACTGTAACATGGATACAAGGATTACAATTCAATGCACCAGGGCTGCAGGGCAATTGGCACAAGAGCTAAATACTTCCCTGTAAGACCCAGTATGTTCACTACATAATAAAGTTTTCCTGCAGCCTAACTAGGCCATTGGCATGGGGTAGCCTTTGAGAATATAGTCTAGTGGGTTGAGCACAGGGATAGGAGCCAGGAGAATATGAGTTTTAATTTTTGCTCTGCCTCTAGGTGGCCTTTGCAAATCATAGAATATCAGGCTTGGAAAGGACCTTAGGAGATCATCTAGTCCAACCCCCTGCTCAAAGCAGGACCAATCCCCAGACCGATTTTTGGCCTAGATCCCTAAATGGCCCCCTCAAGGATTGAACTCATAATCCTGGGTTTAGGAGGCCAATGCTCAAACCACTGAGCTATCCCTCCCCCACTTGATCTGACTGAGCCACATTCTCTGCTGGGGAGCAGGGACACAAAAAAGGTGGCTGCATTTCCCTGATTCTGGACGCAGTTCTCCGCACATCCCAACCCTAGGGTACATGAGATCAGCCTGGCGTACTGATGTTGACTTTATTTAAGCAATACCAATTTACACCAGCTGAGGATCTGGCCCCAAAAGTTTACAAAGAGAGCCAGCTCTACAAAGCACTCCAATTAGACAGCCGTAAAATGGCTTAGCTGGCTGCAGGGAGATTCCTCTAAGGCAGGCATTCTCCTCGAGACGCACCAAGGGCAGGATGTAGATTTGGGCCATGTTCCCTATCGCCAACAAAGCTGCTGCCCTCATACCATGTCCCTATTATCCTCTGCCCTCATTTCCCTACCATAAGATCATTAGGGATTGCACGACTGGATCAGACCAGTGGCCTGTGTACTGCAGTTGTCTCTGACAGTGGCCAGGACAAACTGCTGCAAAGGAAGGTGCAAGAAACCCTTCTGGCAGCAACAGTCCTGTGATAACCTGCTCCCAGGGCAAGTTCCCTCTTGACCCCCAATAAGCATAGATTGACTCGCGCCCTGAAGCAGGAGGTTTTATTCCCTGCACCTCTTGTCCCTCTCTTCCCCTTGTCTGCATCCCTCCCTTGTGTCCTTGTCAATTCCATGCAGATTTTGGCAGAGATGGACTCATCTCCTCCAGGCTAGTTAAACACACAGGGCCAGATTAGGCCCCTAAAGAGATTTATCCAAGTCTTTCCATGGGAGTAGGGCACCTATCTGCGTCTTCAGGCACCCAGGTACATTGGCCCCTGAGGCCGTCCATCTGATTTCAGTTATAACAGTCTGATACCAGTGTAACTCCACCATCTTCACTGGACTCACCCCCCGATTTGCCCCATTGTGAGTGAGAAGACGATCAGTCCTCCTGGCTTCCATCAGATTGAGGCCCGGCCTTTGCGTGCTGCCTGTACTTCTAGGTGTGCTTCAAGTCCAACCCCAAGTGCTTTGGAAACTGAGTTGATCTTGTAGCCTAGCAACAGTCTGCCAAGCCATGACATCATCGCACAACCTGCCCATGACCCTGTCAGCCCAGTTTCCGGCCAGCCACTGAGGGACTCATGAACACTTCGTAACAGGCCAGTCGAAGGGGTCGTAACTAATCCAACAAGGGAGCTTTGCGTGTAACCAGATAGCCTTCAAGGGACACCTCTGCAATTACTGCCAGTCACTCACTTTGCCTAGCGCGCACCCTCTCTGACATACAAGATCATTTTAACATTCAGCAGCAGCAGCTGGACCAGAGGTTGCCCTGCCAGCTGCTGCACCAACTCTCACCTTGGCGGGGCAGGGGAACAAAACAACTAGCAAACTCAGCACATCTCATGATTTTAGGATATCGTGCCATGACACTGCTTCAAACCTGAAGACATTTTGGGATGTCTATATCTAGAGGGATCCATCTGCAGGGACTGCACCCAGGGCCCCTCAGGATCCAAAAGCACATACCGCTACTCCTGGAGCTAAAAGACCAACAACTGGTCTACACTACGAGTTTAGGTCAACTTTAGCCGCTTTAAATCGAATTAAGCCTGGACACGTTCACACGACGAACCCCTTTCTTTCGACTTAAAGGGCCCTTTAAACCGGTTTCTTTACTTCACCTCCGACGAGGGGATTAGCGATAAAATCGGCCTTAGGGGGTCGGAATTGGGTTAGTGTGGACGAATTCGACGTTATTGGCCTCCGGGAGCTATCCCACAGTGCTTCATTGTGACCGCTCTGGACAGCACTCTCAACTCAGATGCACTGGCCAGGTAGACAGGAAAAGCCCCGCGAATGTTTGAATTTCATTTCCTGTTTGCTGAGCGTGGAGAGCACAGGTGACCACGCAGAGCTCATCAGCACAGGTAACCGTGATGGAGTCCCAGGATCGCAAAAGAGCTCCAGCATGGACAGAACGGGAGGTACGGGATCTGCTCGCCATATGGGGAGATGAATCAGTGCTGGCTGAACTCCGAAGCAGTAAACGAAATGGCAAAATATTAGAAAAGGTCTCCAAGGCCATGAAGGACAGAGGCCATAACAGGGACGCACAGCAGTGCCGCGTTAAAATTAAGGAGCTAAGGCAAGCCTACCACAAAGCCAGAGAAGCAAACGGAAGGTCCGGGGCTGAGCCGCAAACATGCCGCTTCTATGCGGAGCTGCATGCCATTCTAGGGGGTGCAGCCACCACTACCCCAACCATGTGCTATGAGTCCCTCACTGGAGAAACACACAGGGAAGCGGGTTCGGGGTACGAGGAAGATGAGGATGAAGATAATGTAAATAGCTCACAGCAGCAAGGAAGCGGAGAAACCGGTTTCCCCAACAGCCAGGATATGTTTATCACCCTGGACCTGGAACCAGTAACCCCCGAACTCACCCAAGACCCTGGGGGCACACAGGGGACCTCTGGTGAGTATACCTTTGTAAATATTACACATGGTTTAAAAGCAAGCGTGTTTAATGATTAATTATTAATTTGCCCTGGCAATCGCGGCCAGTACAGCTACTGGAAAAGTCTGTTAACGTGTATGGGGATGGAGCGGAAATCCTCCAGGGACATCTCCAGAAAGCTCTCCTTCATGTACTCCCAAAGCCTTTGCAAAAGGTTTCTGGGGAGGGCTGCCTTATCCCATCCACCATGGTAGGACACTTTACCACGCCAGGCCAGTAGCACGTAGTCTGGAATCATTGCATAACAAAGCATGGCAGCGTATGGTCCCGGTGTTTGCTGGCATGCAGACAACATCCATTCCTTATCGCTCTTTGTTATCCTCAGGAGAGTGATATCATTCACGGTCACCTGGTTGAAATGAGGCAATTTTATTAAGGGGACATTCAGAGGTGCCCCTTCCTGCTCTGCTGAACAGAAATATTCCCCGCTGTTAGCCATGCGGTGGGGGGGAGGGGTGAAGTGATCATCCCAGAGAATTGGGTGTGTGGGGGAGGGGAAGTAGTTGGGTTTGTGCTGCATGTTAACCCTGAAACCGCAGCCCCTCCTTTTACATTGCAAACCCATTTTAAATGGCCAACCCAACGGGTGCTTGGTATGGTTAATGAGAGCAGTACTGTTTGAAACCATCCCCACATGTTAAGAAGGTTAAAAAAGCCAAAAGACTGTGTCTTACCATGGCTGCCTGCAAGCTGAAATCTGTGGCCTGGCACTGCGTGAGTGATCTCTCACACCAAACCGGCAGGCCCTCAATATAAGAGGAAAAATGCGACCTTGTAACAAAAGCACATGTGCTGTGTAATGTGAACAGCAAAATTTAACGTGAAAGAGTGTACCCATTGTTCTCTAAAATGTGTCTTTTTTAACCACCTCTCCCTTCTCCTCCACCAGCTGCAAATCTTTCTCCTTCACAGAGGCTAGTGAAGATTCGAAACCGAAAGCGAAGGACGCGTAATGAAATGTTTA